TGAGTTAAATTTCGTTTATGTTGAGAATAAATACGAACTATACTTCGGAAATTGGTAATAAAAGGAGAAACAATACCTGGTAGAACGGTGCACTAAAATATTTTTGTATAGGGCTTTCCCGACACGATTCCTCCAATTCAGGTAAACCGGATTTCCCTAGTAAATGAAGAAGCGCGAAATTTCGAGCGAAACGAAATTCTTGAGCGGCGCATCGGATTTTTATTGAACGCAATATTGCGTTACACGGTAATCCTGTGGATGCTTTTGTTCCGTACACTTTAGCGCGTGTATCGGTGCGTGTTTGGTCCGTCAAGCAGTTATTCCGGATACAAAAGCCGATCCGCGTGCAATCGATGTGGCAATAAAAATGGGAGGGAAAATACGGGAGCGAGTGCATTTACAATGGTTCCGCAGAGTTTTCGCGTCGGAATCGTTGGAATAATAGATTATCCTTTGTGCGGGGAACAAGAGGCACGGATTGCAGGTCCGTTTATACGTAGAATTAAATACGAAAAGGAAAAGACCAATTACTCGTGCAAAACCGTGATACCGATCCTTTTTCCACTGTTTCGTTTTTCCTCGCCGATTGCCAAGCTATCTCAATAAAATACCCGCTTTCTATATTTCGGGACGATATTCCTGCACCGCATATGAAATCCAAATATTGGAACGATGTAATTGTGTCGAGTGTCGGCAAATTCTAAAAACTCATTCGATCCGTGAAATATTTCAATCCGCCGTCCAGAAATATTTTTCTTCCTTACACACAGTGATTAAATTTTTCTTTGCTATGTTTGAGCTTCTCTTCTTGTAATTGTTTCTTTCATTTACGCAGATTTTAACTCCGTTGAAATGGAAGCAGAGAAACTGAGTTTTAGATTGTGCAATTTGAAACAGTTGTCAGTTAACTGCGCATGTTTATGAAAATTCTTATTTTTATAATTAACATTAAACAAACTAAATACACATAAACATTTGTTTTATTGCCTAACAACATTATAAATCCTAATTTGCTTTGGACATTTTGTAGTCCATGTCTTTTTTAATTATTGAAAATTCCTATTAATGGGGAATTTCAATAATTTCAAACGAAAATCTTTTTTTTAAATGCCTTATTCCAAGATTTGTCCTAAGGAGTTGCGTCCCTAAAACAAGTCCTTGTACTCTAAAAGATATTGACAAGATTGAAGTCTTTGATTAGGAAATCTGTAGAAAATATATCTTACTTAATTGGGTGAGGAAAAGTTTTCACAAAACCTGAGGCATGAGAAAATTATTACAAGAAAGCATAACAGTTTTTACATTAATCCGTTTAAAAGTGTTAGTAAATTATGATTATAAAACTGAAGTCAGCTTGATGTAATAGATATTCTAACATTTATATGAAAATGTATTTATAATTGATATTAGCTTCTTATCTAGAGGAACATGTAGATCTGAACGTGTCGCAATTTGTCCATGTGTATGTACGGTGGTCCGGGATCGAATGAGTTATCTGTACGTGTTCCACGTCGCGCTAGTCGTGCGAGGGATTTCTCCGTCCGTGGAAACAAAATAAAGGTTGACAAATACTCGTTTTTCTGGGTGGGGGTCCTGCTCGAGATTCTTTGGGGCTCGCGAAAGGAACAGATTGGATCGTGGATTGGTTTACGAGCCCGTAAATAAAAAGATATTTTTGTATCTCGGCGTGGTACGTGTCGCAGACTACTCAGCCTGGATCACACGGACAAAATGTTCGTTCGTTGGTGAAAAATGGCTTGTAAAACTGCCGCGTGAATCGTTTATCGATGTACAGTGTCCGGAAAAAATATCGACCCTACTTTGACAACCAACCCCATACAATGGATACCGGCTAAATGATGAAAAAAGGATTTGAAAGACGGTGGGAAATTCGAAATCTTGATTAAAGGATTACAACGGTTTCGAAACAAGGGAATACTTTCTTATGGAAATATTGTAGGGGAGGAACATGTGTCGAAAAGGCTGAGAATGATAGATAAGAAATTAACAGAAGAAGTATCTGAAAAATAATACATATATATATCGCTTTATTTCAACCAAGAGATGGATATGGTTTACAAATTGTCCTTACTCATTCATCCTTCCACACCTGCACACACTAACGATTCACTTCATACTTCATTACCCGTCGGCCTTAGAACTCTAAAAGCATTTTCAAAATGTTAACTAACGCAAGGCAAGAATTATAATAAATACTAACTATGACAACCAGCCAATAGTTAACGTATTCAAGCACATGCAAAATAGAATGTAATACATTTTCAGAAATTTGTTACAAAAATAAAGAAGAAATGTATAATATGATATAAGAGACGTATAATAAAAGTAATACAAACATTTGTAGTATATTTTCAAGTGTCATAATTCGTTTCCAAATTAACATAAACAGAATTATAGAATATAAACAGCGTTTGAAAACAAATCTAAATCGTCTTAGACTGATTTTTTAATTTCATTTTACAAGCAATGATTGTCGAATAGTTTTGTTTACAGAGATGGATAGGTCTCTGAACGAGTGTTATATCCGGGCAAGCAATTACGCGTATTAAGCGTTTTTATCGCGACACGTCCGTAGCTTTCGTTGGCGCCTGGTTAATAAATGCGTGCGCGATTTCACTGGCTCGAAATCGTCCGGATTACGCCGCGCCATTACGTTAACTGCCTTGTTATTAACTTTTTAAACGACGTGTATAGCAAGCGTGGTTACAGCATCAAACAGCGAGCGTGAACCTTCGTTGTTTATAGTTTACCTGATTCTTCATTTAATACGACATAGACGAGCAGTTAATTTGATATATTTTGCATAGAAATTACATGAATAATTGATTAATACACTATTTTTACCTTGTTATCGAAAAAACACAGCAAAAAAACGTGAAAATAGCCGGATAATATTAGAAAAGTCATGTGACTACCCTGACCTCTTAATTGAGACTCTAATTTAGTCATTAAATACACAAAAAAGGATGAAATTATCGAATTACATTCATGTAATTGAGTTTTTAATATATAAAGGGAAATTTAATATAAACTAAACTATATAAAGTAGCGTAAAACACTTTAGATAGTGCTGTAATATGTTTCTCAAAATCAGATGCGGAAGTCAAACACAAACCGGGCTACGCCCCATGGAAATATCTCTATTATGTGTATTTTCCACTTTTAATGAAACATTCTACAGGCAGAAGCTCCATTGTTCTGCGCTTCTCCGTTGAACGCTACGCTTCATATTTTACCAAATTAACACCTGCCCAAGAGGACGAGAAATTAATCTTATCTATGTATGTGCAAGCAAAAAATGTCGGATTATTTAATAATATAGATAACAGAACTGAATTTTGTGATGAAAGACTCTACGCTTAGCACACCGTGTTTTTTTGAAGCTTTATTGAGCCAATCAGCATGCGACTGTTTAGTGCGAGAATGATGAGTCATAAACACTGTGCACGATCAAAATCGCTTTTCTCTAATAAAACCCCCAAAATTTTTTTAAGAACGGTAAAGGAACGGAACGGGGAAGCTCTTTCACTCAATGCACAACAGATTGTAAAATTGTGTAAATTGCAGTAATTTACTATAAATAATAATTTATTATACGCTTTTAATGTAGTCTTAAAAAGAATTGTACTATGCAACTGCATGAGAAAAATTGCGTTTTCGTATAAATGGAAAATGTGATTGGAAAAAGTGAATTTCGTTTGACGCAGCAGAAACACGCAGGACGTTCGTCGAACACTTTAGCCATCGAAATACAATAGTAGTTGACTCGTCGAGCAAACGGTACGAAAGCTTCGAACTTTCTTCGGCATTCCAATGAAGCAGTTTTCGAGCCCTCTGATCGGAATACAAAACCGCTCTCAAGTAGTTCGTGCGAGAGTGCAAATTAGGAAACAACATGCTCCCTGCTTTTCTCTATTTTTCTAAAAGATTTTCTTCCCTTCCGTTATACTAACTATACTAGAAGTTTTATATAAAAATGTGTATAATATACTTTTTATTTTATTTTTATTTCAGGACTAATGTCTATTACAAGCTTGTAACTAATACTGGTATTTACACATAAAAATATAATATATTATGTTAAAATTGTGATGTATTAAATGTTACTACCATCCTTTGAAAAATAAAATGTATAAATGATCAAAGAAATGTTTATTTAAAATACATTTTCTTAACTGACGCTATAAATGTTTTATTTGATATAAAAATCAGCACTTAGTACACGTACAATCTGATTAATCTAGTTTAAACTATTGAGATGAAACAAAAAAAGTTTCAATTGAAGAATATTTACAAAGATTTTGCATAAAAATGGAATACCCTGTTACGTAACCGCGTTCTCTCATTGATGGGTGAACGGGTTTAGATCGATTAACATAACAAGCTGGCCGTTTGTTCGCTTCCTAACGGGTGTATACCGAGTCTCTATCGAGGCCATCGTGATAAAGCTACCTCGAAGCTACTTGTTGTCGGGGTTGAAGTGTCGGTTTCCCTTCAGAGAGAGAACGAACTGTACCTCGTACCTGTCAAAGAAAACCTCTGATCTCCCTCGGCGAGCCAGCAAGGACTTCTTAATCGACTTCCGGGTTTAAATGATTAGTCCATCAATTTCAATTCAAGCTTCTATTTTATCGCTGCACTACTATTGAGTTCAAATTTAACTATCAATAATTTTTGCAACTGGTATTCCATTTCATAAATTTACATAACGAATAGACTATCACAGTGGACACTGTATCGAAATTTATGCTAAACCAACAAGAGTTGCGGTGGCCCAGGACCGAAGGCTCGTTGATCGGTTCGAATGTAGAGCGAGAGGAGCACGAAACCTCTCATCTCCAGGCGTTTATGGTAATCGACACGAGTACTTTAATTCCTCGGAGCTTAGTTTCCTATTAGTGGTCTCCAAGTTTCGGAAGAAGAAGCTAATAGGATTGGTGGTTTCATTGGCGAGCTTGATGCTCCTGCAGGTACTTAACCCGTTTCAATTTGAAACACGTTCACGATTTACATCATAATTGTGTTATCTATTATTCGTTGTCATTTAGAAAATAAAACGTCCATTACAAAGTAGTCTTAATAATGATAAGAGTAGTCGTCCGTTTCATGCTTTTCAGCCAAGTGGTGGTACATTTACTGATAATACTATGTTTAACAAGACCTTAATTTAATTTTTAAGCAAGTTATACAATAAAAAATTCTGGTATCTGTACAATTTTACATAAGAGTAATTGTCAGTAGTGTGCAATGAAATCCAATACATGCGCAAATTCTGCACCTTGATATAAGGGCCTAACAACAGATATTTATTTACATAAGATACATAAAGGATAACGTATAAAAAATATAAACAAGGAGAGTACATTTTAAAATCAACGGTTGAGTCTTCTCGCCATGTTTCTTAATTGACCGTGCACTTTCGACGGAGGTTTCCTACCCAAAATTAAATTACTTATAGCCCTTCTTGCGAGCGCTATACTGTCAAACGTGCCAAGTATATGGACTTTGTTCTCGACGAACACGACGCTGGTCACAGTTGAATTTTCTATAGCCAACTTCGTCAATCCATCCTTCCCAGCTAGTCTCCCGATCGCTCTGGACAGGTGATCACCTTTCAAAGACCGTTTCACGTCTTCAATCTCGAACGTTTCCATAAATAAATCGTCAAAGCGTAACAGATTCATAGCGTCTTCCACTCCGAATCCATAGATGAACGCTTGAACGAAATCTGCTCCTTTCTGCAAGTTCTTTATGTCAGGAGTTTCGGGAGCCATTCGCAGTTCCACGGTTCGTGCTTTCATATTGAATCTTATATGCAATTGCATATGCTCGACGATGGGAGTAAATATCTTCATCCAATTAGCCTTCAACGGAATGTACCGATCCTTGGGTACAGTCACCTGAAAGCATTTTGTTCCTTTTAAAATATGCGCAAGAAATGAAGAATTCGGAGGGACAAGCTAACCCGATTCTCAGTTGTCTCTGGCAAGGGATCGTGGGAATCGTTTTTAGAATGACAATTCGTTTAAGTTAATAGTGTATTCCTATTATTGAAAAATGGGTTTCTTTAAAATCGGCCTTCGTTTTTTAGATATGTTGATTTAAAGTTTAGAAGCATCATGTAAATCGTTTTGTTATGCGTATTAGCAAAATGTATGGTTGGTCGGCGGGTAGGGCAGAGTGGCCGCACTGTAAATATATTTTTCATTGTGAATCATTCCTACCGAATTTTCCTCCGATGCAGACTGATGACGAAAGACAAAAATCTAGTAATCCTTTGGATAATGTCCACCCTCAACGAGCTGGTAAAAAATTGTCTCTATTGCGAGACGGTATCGTTACCTTATTACCTTCATACCTGGTAGAGAGCCGTAGATATGGAATGATTCATACCAAAAATTCGGCAAGAATAATTCACAAAGAAAAATATATTTACAGTGCATTTGCAGAAAATTATATGTAAACGTGTTTAACAATGTTATGTTAAGCGTACTTCCTATTTGTATTAATATGATTGTCTTAAAATTCGCGGTAGAGACAATTAAAATTAAATGAAAAAAATTCATATTTCTGTTATAAAATCTTTAAGAAAAAAAGACATTTCCTCCACGAGGATCCGAACCCTATACTACTGGATGTATGGTCCCCTGGTTCCCTTGTGAGACAGAAATTCGTAGTTTTCACGGTGCATGTTACATATGATGATATTTTTAGTTAACGTAAATTATAATTAAATAATTCAATCATGGAAATCAGTCGAATGAAAATCGAGTTGTTCGAATAAATTCAGACGTCAAATTACTTACCACTCTTTGTTCACTATCTTCGCCGGTCGGTTCCCATTTCGAAGCCCATTCTGACTGCATTTCATCTACCACGCCAGTGATCACTTCCACTTTCGGACGATTGTCAGCTGCACTTCGTTTCTTCCTTCTTCTAGGTTCAACGAACCCGGTCATGTCTACTTCAATGTTCATATCTTCTTTGTTTATATTCATCTTGTATGAATTTTTTAATTATTGAAGTACGAACTCAATTCTTCTTCTGAAGTACAAACTCAACTCTTCTTCGAACTGAAGTACAAACTCAATTCTTCTTCAAACTGAAGTACAAACTCAACTTTTCTTCGAACTGAAGTACAAACTCAACTCTTCTTCAAACTGACGTACAAACAATTCTGACTTGTAAGCAGACGGATACGTCTGTTCTGCCCTTTGACTAAACGCAGAATGATCGGACGAGTCGCTCTGGCCAGCGATCTACATGGATAGAGGTAGGGATAATGGATTTGAAATAAGGGATGGGACAAAGCTACAGGATTCTGATTGGTTGACCGTCATCGCCGGGGCACTTCCGGTGTAAACTATACACGTTAAGCAATGAAAGATTTTTATATTCATGGTTAATGTTTATGCAGTAGCAAAGCCTATTTTGATACCTAGCCATGTTGAAAATAAAATGGCAACATTTGTGGAAGTCCAGTTCTCATGTAGTGTAACAACAGCCGACTTTAATACGTATTTGATTGCACTACACGATAACCGGACTTCCGCCGTGCTGAGAATAAAATGACAACACTGCGCAAGTCCTGAACTTGGACTACCGATTGGCAGCTGGAACCGGAAGTTCATTAATAGTGAAACGTGGAAGGTGAAGAATAAAGATATTTTTTCCAATAGGTAGACTGTTTTTGCATTTGATATTATCCGTCCTACTTCAAACAATTTATGATATTAGCTAAAAAAGTTCATTTTAGATGGACAGATTTAGATAGTAATCTCTTTCATAGTTCATCCAGGATTCATGTTCATTTATGAAATGAAATACCCACTGCAAAAATCTTTTTAAGAGTTTATCTATCAGTTACATTTATTTATAGAACGAAGTACCAACAACGACTATCATCGTGATCGACTATTACTTTCGTTTGTATTCGAATAGCACGGGAAGCAGGGGAAACGTGATCGAATTGCATAGAAGAAGAGGGAAGCGGGGTAACGTCGATTTAATATGGACCCCGTGTTTAACCCAATTCGGTGGTCACGGGGACAACTGTGCGCCCTATCGCGATTCGTGCATTGTGCACGGGTGCCTTAAGCGGCTTAAATATTCAAGGCACGCGCAGCTGCTGCGACCCATTCGCGTGGCGCACGTGTGCCGTCCGTCTTAACGTAAAACCACCCCACCCACCCCCAAAAACAGCTCATCCCTGGGGGAAGACGCCGATATTTCAACCCAAAAATTGCTAGGCATAATTCAGATATCAAATCAGAGAAATCAAATTAAATCATATGAAACACTAAGAAGGAATTTGAGTAGACTGGGAATATTTAGGTAGAATTAATATCATCAGCAGAGCATCATTTTATCTAGTTATTTTGTATTCATTTTACATTTAGTTGTGTTAGTTAATTTTACGTTTGTTTCATGTTGGATTAGTTCAGTTTATTAGTTAAATTAGTTTAGAAATAAGTTAAGGATGTATTGGCTATACAGTCAATCCCAAAAGTTTATGTGCCTCAGAAAAACGCATTTCCTATAATTAAAAAGAAAT